AAACATCGTCCCCAGACCCCCCCAGGCCCTCCAAGATAGCTTGGAAAAGACCCCCCCCCGAAATGAGACCCCCCTCCCTTTATTACGAAATCTGGAGTATATAGACATAGTAAACAAAATAGTCTGGGGGCGATGTGTTTTACTATTTTTTTGGCCACTTGGGGGATCCGCCTGTGGGAGGACATGCCCGACCTAATCCGAGCAGTGGTCGTCGCGGCCGAGCTCGGCTCACACGGGGGTCGCCCAGGGGGGGGGGTCAGGACGTTTTCGTTGGTTCTTGGAGGAAATCAGGGGAGACGTTAGCGGGGATAGGCTCAAGCGGATACGTCGACTCTCAATCCCCCATGCATCGCCGTCAGTGGCCCGATAGTCGGCCTCGCCGACGATATACAGTGGCAATCGGGCGCCTGCCGACGAGATACAGCGGCGTCCCATGCCAAGAAACACCCTGCTTGCCTCCAGGGTGCCGTCGGTTTCTTGGGTTTCTTGGGTGATGCTCCCACCACCCAAAGTCCATGGACGTCCTGGGGTCTCGGAAGAGAGCGGCGATCTGAAAATCAGCCGATGTGCACCGAACTGTGGATTCAGAAGATGGAGCGCTCGAGGGAGGATGAGAAGGACGAGAGGGAGGAGGACTGGGGAGGGGCAGGAGGAGGAGGAAGAGGAGGAGGAGGAGGAGGAGGAGGAGGAGATGGAGAAGGAAAAGGAGGAGGAGAAGGAGGCGGCGGAGGAGGGCCTCGAGGAACGGGGGCACAGGGCGACTGCAGCCGACCAGACGACCGTCGGAGGCGCCTCGTGTCCCGCGCCGCTGGCTCTCCTGGCAGTGTTGTGTGCTGCGCGGCGGTGGAGAGGGAGGAAGGGAGCGAGAAGCAGGCAGACGAAGGCTTGTGGAGGACGATCAATGGAGAGAAACAATGTTGCCAAATAAATTCCAGAAGTCTCAAATATGTGTCTAACAACACGTTTAAAGCATGTTTCTGTTTCCCGACATTTTAAACACATCTTAAATTCAATGATCGGACTATTAAGGTGTTGATTGTCGTGGCATCCACAAGACGAAGGCAAACGCGCAGGCGGGAGGCCAGGGCCGGCGGGACGAAGCAGGCGGGCGGGCAGGCGGGAAGGGTCCCAGACATGCGCCGTCCTGATTTTTTCAGGACGACGCCCCCGGAAGTCCAGACCCTTTCCCCGAGGCAGGTTTTTCATCCTGAGCCGTTTTTTGACGGTCCCTGGGCTCGGCGAGGGCCTCTAGAGGCCGACATCGACCAAAAACGTCCCGCCGTGATTTTTCTACGACTCGATCATGTCTGGGGTTGGGTGTCTGGCGGAAGGTTTCTCGTGGTCGAGCTCCTGCTGTATGGGCAGTGTCCGGCCGATCCCAGCTCCACGCTTTTCCCCGCAGAGCCGGTCCCTCCCTGGCGTCGCCTCTCGCCTCTGGGATTCAGCCGGGCATGTCCTTCTACAGGAGGAATACTCTAGGGACGTTTTTTGTTGTTGGACTATTTTTGGCTATGCTGGGTTATTCTTTGAATATGTTTGCTCGTCCAAAATCCCCTGTCGGGGGGAGGGGGGAGGGGAGGGGAAGGCTTCCTGTGAGCGCCGCTGCCTCTTGGGAGGTGCAGTTTTCGGCCTCCGGGGCGGGCCTCGGGACCGTCTCTCTCTCTCTCTCTCCCTATATATATATATATATGTATATACATATACATATACATACATATATATGCATATATGTATAGCTGTATGTCGATGTTTATGTATATGTACATGTATGTGTTTGTGTGTATATGTATGTATATATATATATATATTTATATGTATATGTATATGTATATGTATATGTATATGTATATGTATATGTACATGTATATGTATATGTATATGTATATGTATATGTTTGTGTGTATACATATAGATCTATATAGCAAAAACGGTCCCGGGGGAAGGGTCGGGACTTCAGGGGGCAGCGCATTAGAACAAAAGCGGTACGTCGCGCGTCTTGGGGTATATAGGGGGAGGGGGGAAGGCTTCTGGGAAGCACACCTGCCTCTCAGGAGGCGCGGGCCGTGTCTATAGATGTGGGGCTGGCGCCTTCCAAGAAGCAGCCTCCTTCCAAGATGCAGCCTCCCCTTACGGGGGAGGCTGGGAGGGCTTCTCGAAGACCCCCTTGCCTTTCAGCAGGTGCGGGCCGTGCCTGTAGACGCACGGCCGGCGCCTGCTAAGAAGCAGCCTCCTGCTAACCCCTCCCCTTCTGATTAAGTCGGGCACGTCCTTCTACAGGAGGTATATTCAAAGATAGTGAATTCACAGCCTGGGGACGATTTTCTTCTTATATTTACTATTGTTGCATTTGTTTTGGCTATTTAATTTCTTCGAGAATCCGCCTGTAGGAGGACATGCCCGACCTGACTGTAGACGTAAGGCCGGCGCCTGCTAAAAAGCGGCCTCCTTCTAAGAAGTGCTTCCCCCCTCCCCTCATGATGTTCCAACCTACTTCGGCCCGAAGCACCAGGAACAATTTCGAGTACCAAGGCCGTGCCGAAACACGTGTCGGGCTCTGGGAGGCGATATTTGTTCGTCACTGTTTCGATACTTTTCCGGATGCTCGAAATTCTTGGCACTTCACGCTTCTTGCGCTTACTTGCTGGTCGCCACCGGGATCTCCACGCCACCGGGTTGGGAGTTTCGTTTCCGGCTCTTCTTCTGAGTGGCTGCCCGCGCGCTCGCTTCGCTTGCCTCTCTTTTCTTTCTGCCTAGTCGCGGCCCGACTAGTGTTCGGACGGCTTTCGACCTGCTTCGCGAGCCCGCAGACCAAGAGTGTCCCCACCAGCCTCCGTAGCCCCCCTGGTTCAAGCCGCTTTGCCCCTGTCCTCCTTCTCTTCCTCCCTGTTCCCTCATCGATGGCTGACGGGGGTTGGCCGATGACGCTGGCCGCAGAAGACCCGCGCGGCGCACCGCGGCCGAAAGGCGACGGGCGCAGCAGTGGGCGGCAAGGAACAGAGAGCAGCTTGTTTGAAAGCAGGCTGATCGACTGCGCGAACTGGAAGGCCTCTTCGCTTGCTCGCGTACAACACTTCGACGGCTGGCCTTGACGGCTCCAGTACTTGATGCGCAGGAGGGGGGCCGCCAATTTTGCCCATCCAAGTCCCCCACAGGGACGTTGCCAGCCATGCCGCCTCGCTTCCGCGGCCAGGGGCGGCGCCAGGAACGTGGCGGCGAGCTCAGAGAAACGCCCGGTTTCCTAGGCCCGCGACGGTCTGCCGGGTCGTTCCTGATTCCATTCGGGCGCGGTTCAGTGAAGGCGCGGCATTCTGTGGCCCCGCAGACGTGGCGGTCTTGCGGATCCAACGTGCTGCGCGTGGCTTTGTGAATCATCGACGTTGTCGGGCTGCGGATCGGATCGCTGTGTGGTGGCGCCGTTTGGGCTTCGAGCGTCGGCTCCATTCCCGCGTGCAGTGCCGCCTGCTAGCAGCGCCTGGGTATGGCATGCGAGGAGACGGGGACCTGGCTGGGGCTGCCGCTGCTACTGCTGCATTCCTCCGTGTGCAACGGCTTGTTCGCGACTTCCTGTGGCGATGTCGTTCGCGGGACGGCCGCGCTACAGCGTGCCAGCAATCAGCTGAAGGACCGCGAGACACATGTGACCGAGCGAGGGCACCCCCGCGCTGCAAGTGGGGGCACGCTTGTCCATGTGACAGGATTGGAAAGTGTTTTTATTCTCAGGACCCCATATCCGAAAATGCGTCGCGGATGGCGCCACAGACCACACTACTGCAGCGGATCGTATTACAATATGGGCAGCTTAACGTTATCATGGCATCCTTGTTCCAACGCTTTGTGCAGCAGGTGGACCCAGTGCGCCTTGTGATTCTTGACCCGTATATCGTCTCAGTTCGACGTGCTGCGATTCCAGCCTTCGGCGAGTTGTCCGCGGATGTCCTCTGCGAGGCCGTGGCAGCGCGAGGTCTGGCCGCGACGCACTCTTCGCAACTCGCCGACATGATGCTTGTCACGCGCGGCTTCCTGAGAGCACCTGGCGTGTCAGGGCAGCCCTTACTTCGAGAATGGGCTTCGGTGACGATCGAAGCGTGGTTGCCCCGAGGCCTCCAGATCGAGTGTCGCTTGGATGCGCGCGTGCACCTTCGGAAGGTCGTCTTCATAGGGCTTGGTGCCGCCATCGGGTGCTGTCCAGGGTGGGGTCTCAATGTGTGTATTGAGAGCGGCGCCGACACGGATCCCGCTCGCTGGCCTGCCCGTCGCACGGGCACGCCTGTTTTCTTTCGCGTGGAGCCTTGAGGCCCTCTGAGCGTGGGCGGCAACGCGCCGCGCGTGCAGCGGCTGCTTGGGCCGATGCAGGGCCATTGGCGCCGCGCGCAACTGGCTGTCCTGGAACTGCGCGTCCTTGTTGCCAGCCGGCGGCGCTCGTGGGCAGACGGCGTCTTCTGTGACAGTTGCCACTCGGTGCGGACTGCCCGGTGCTCGGTGGTTCGATTTCCCGACGGACGGCTCAGCGTCGTTGCTTTCGGAGGTCTCCCTGCTCGCGTCGCGCAGGAAGAGGGCTTCATTGCAGTTGTGCAGTGCTGCCGCTGTGCGCGCAGCTCGACCGGCGACGGGGGCGCGCGGTCCGAGCTGGTCAGCGGGGGCGCGCGCGCGCGCGGACAACGCTCCTCGCGCATGGCGGTCAGCTGGTGCAGTTGCTGCGGCGACGCCTCGCGCATGCCATCGTGGCGTCCAACGACCGTGGTGGCGACTTGCGTCTCCGTGGCACGGACGAGCAGCTTTGGCGATTTCACGAGGTTCTGCAAACATCGCTCATCGGTGGGACTGCGCAGCGCCGGGGCGACGCGCTCCCGCTAAGCTGCTCCAGCGGCGGGCGGCAGCGCGGTCTCGGCCGCTTGGCCCCGCTGTCGCTCGTTCTGGGTGCCCGGGTGGCGTGCCAGATCATGCAGTGCAAATGGCGCGAGCGCGTTGCTGCGCGCCGTCGCCGCGCGCGCCGCCGCGAGGTAACTCATCTGCACCGCGTGCTGGAACGGGCCCAGAAGATGCCCTGGGCGATGGTTGGGGGCCTGCCCATCGTGTTCTGCATGCGGTCGCTGTGGTGCAGCGGCTGCGACGGGGCCGCGGCGTCGCTGCTGCGCAACGGGCTGCCTCCGCTTTTGTCTTCGCGCGGCCCCGTTGGCGAGCCCGAGCCCAGGCCCTCTTGGCTCTTCTTCGAAACCTACGTGAGGCAGACCATTTTTTGGCCAGATCTTAACAGCTGTCTCATGGCTGCGCGCTGCGCCCGGGCCTCCCAGCTAGCCGCTCTTTCTTCGGAGGTCTCAGGCCAGAGTTTGGGATTGCTCCAAGTTGGTCGCCTCGCGATTCGCACGGCCCGTGCAGCGCAGGATGCTCCTGATGGTGAGCTGCGATCGCGGCCGGCAGCCTCTGCCGTCGGCGCCTTTCGCGTTGTCCTTCGTCGGGCGCTGCGGATGCCTCGGCCGCTCGTGCGAGAAGGGCTGGCAGCGGGCTCCTGGTGCGTCGGCAGTGGAAGCGCGGCTGCGTCGGAGAGGGGCGGGGTGGCAGTGGCAGCGAGTCAGCGCACAGGGGCGGCAGTGGCAGCGCGGCGGGAGGTTGAGGTCCGAGGAGGGACGGCAGTGGCGGAGGCGTGGGGGCGCGAGGCTGGGCTGTGAGAGCGAGCAGGGAGGGCAGCGGTGGAGGTGTTGAGGGAGGGCCAGGAGGAGCGAGGAGGGGTGGTTTCGGCCAGCGGCGGCTGCCAGCCGACCGTGGCGCTGCGCCACGTGCGAGAAGGGCGGGCAGCGGCAGCCGGCCCGGGCACTGCTCTTCGAGATGTTGGCGGCGACGCTGGAGGCCAGCCTCGCGTGCGAGAAGGGCGGGCAGTGGCAGCCGGCCCGGGCGCTGCTCGGCGAGATGTTGGCGGCGATGCTGGAGCCCAGCCTCGCGCGCGAGAAGGGCTTGCAGTGGTGGCCGGTCCGGCTGCTGCACGGAGAGATGTCGGCGGCGACGCTGGAGCCCTTAATCGCGGCGAGAAGTGCGGGAAGTGGCAGCCGGCCCATGCGCTGCCCGGCGAAATGTTGGCGGCGACGCTGGAGCGCAGCGTCGCGTGCGAGAAGGGCGGGCAGTGGCTGCAGGCCCAGGCGTTGCTCGGCGAGATGTTGGCGGCGATGCCGGGGCCCAGCCTCGCGTGCGACGCGGGCAGGCAGTGGCAGCCAGCCCTGGCATTGCTCAGCGAGATGTTGATGGCGACGCTGGTGGCCAGCCTCGCGTGCGAGAAGGGCGGGCAGTGGCAGCCGGCCCAGGCGCTGCTCAGCGAGATGTCGGCGGCGATGCTGGAGCCCGACCTCGCGTGCGAGAAGTGCGGGCAGTGGCAGCCGGCCCAGGCATTGCCCGGCGAGATGTGCGTAGCGCTGGTGGCGAGCCTCGCGTCCGAGAAGGGCGGGCAGTGGCAGCTGACCCAGGCGAAGCTCAGCGAGATGTTGGCGGCGACGCTGGCGGTCCAGCCTCGCGGCGAGAAGGGCGGGCAGTGGCAGCCGGCCCAGGCGCTGCTCAGCGAGATGTTGGCGGCGATGCTGGGGCCCAACCTCGCGCGCGAGAAGGGCGGGCAGCCGCAGCTGGCCCGGGCGCTTTTCAGCGAGATGTTGGCGACGATACCGGTGGCCAACCTCGCGTGCGAGAAGGGCGGGCAGTGGCAGCCGGCCCAGGCACTGCTCGGCGAGATGTCGGCGGCGATGCTGGAGCCCAGCCTCGCGTGCGAGAAGGGCTGGCAGCGGTTGCTGGCCCGACCGCTGCTCGGCGCTGGTGGCCGGCCTCGCGTGCGAGATGGGCGGGCAGTGGCACCCAGCCCAAGTGGGGCTCAGCGAAATGTCGGCGGCGGCGCTGGAGCCCGCCCGGATGGCAGTGGCAGCGCGGAGGATGGAGGTGGGGGGGGCCGCAGTGGCGGCGGCCTGGAAGGAGGGGGGGGGGGCGGCAGTGGCAGCGGCAGCGGCGGCGACTCAGCGGCAGCGGCAGCGAGTCAGCGCAAATGGGCGGCAGTGGCAGCACGATGGGAGGCGGAGGCGCGGGGAGAGACGGCAGCGGCGGAGACGCGGGGGCGCCGGGGGGAGCTGCGGGGGCGGGGAAGGGGGGCAGTGATGGAGGTGTTGAGGGAGGGCCAGGAGGAGCGAGGAGGGATGGTTTCGGGCAGCGGCGGCTGCCAGCCGACCCTGGCGCTGCTCAGCGAGATGCTGGGGGCGGAGCTGGGGCCCGGCGTCGCGCGCGGGAGGGGCGGGCGGCGGCGGCCGGCCCAGGCGCTGCTCTGCGAGATGTTGGCGGCGATGCTGGGGCCCGGCCTCGCGCGCGAGAAGGGCGGGCAGTGGCAGCCGGCCCTGCCGCTGCTCAGCGAGATGTTGGTGGCGACGCTGGTGGCCAACCTCGCGTGCGAGGAGGGCGGGCAGTGGCAGCCGGCCCAGGCGCTGCTCAGCGAGATGTCGGCGGCGACGCTGGTGGCCGGCCTCGCGCGCGAGACGGGCGGGCAGCGGCAGCCGGCCCAGGCGCTGCTCAGCGAGGTGTTGGCGGCGGCGCTGGAGGCCAGCCGCGCTCGCGAGAAGGCAGTCCAGTCTCACGTGCGAGAAGGGCGGGGAGTGGTGGCTGGCTCGACTGCCGCTCAGAGAGATGTCGGTGGCGACGCTGGTGCCCGGCCCCGCGGCGAGGAGGGCGGGCAGTGGCGGCTGGCCCATGCGCAGCTCAGCGAAATGTTGGTGGCAACGCCGGGGCGCGGCCTCGCGTGCAAGGAGGGCGGGCAGTGGCTGCTGGCCCGGGCGCTGCTCAGCGAGATGTTGGCGGCGATGCTGGGGCCCAACCTCGCGCGCGAGAAGGGCGGACAGTGGCAGCTGGCCCAGGCTCTGTTCAGCGAGATGTAGGTGATGACGCTGGTGGCGAGCCTCGCGTCCGAGAAGGGCGGGCAGTGGCAGCCGACCCAGGCGCTGTTCAGCGAGATGTGCGTGATGACGCTGCTGGTCCACCTCCTGTGCGAGAAATGCGGGCGGTGGCAGGCGGCCCAGGCGCTGCTCGCCGAGGAGTTGGCGGCGTCGCTGGCGGCCCAGCCTCCCGCGCGAGAAGAGCGGGCAGTGGCGGCCGGCCCAGGCGCTGCTCCGCGAGATGTTGGCGGCGATGCTGGGGCCCGGCCTCGCGCGCGAGAAGGGCGGGCAGTGGCAGCCGGCCCTGCCGCTGCTCAGCGAGATGTTGGCGACGACGCCGGTGGCCAACCTCGCGCGCGAGAAGGGCGGTCAGTGGCAGCCGGGCCAGGAACTGCTCGGCGAGATGTCGGCGGCGATGCTGGAGGCCAGCCTCGCGCGCGAGAAGGGAGGGCAGTGGCAGCCGGCCCGGGCGCTGCTCAGCGAGCGAGATGTCGGCGGTGGCGTTGGTGGCCAGCCTCGCGTGCGAGAAGGGCGGGCAGTGGCAGCGGGCCCAGGCTCTGCTCGGCGAGATGTCGGCGGCGATGTTGGAGCCCGGCCTCGCGCGCGAGATGGGCTGGCAGTGGCAGCCAGCCCTGGGTGTGGTCGGCGAGATGTTGGCGGCGACGCTGGCGGCCAGCCTCGCGCGCGAGCAGGGCGGGCAGTGGCAGCCGGCCCAGGCGCTGCTCAGCGAGATGTTGGTGGCGATGCTGGGAGCCCAGCCTCCCGGCCGCGGCTGAGCGAGATGTTGGTGGCGACGCTGGGGCGCAGACCCACGCGCGAGGAGGGCGTTGAGTGGCGGCTGGCCCAGGCACCGTTCAGCGAGATGTTGGTGGCGACCCTGGTGGCCAACCTCGCGCGCGAGGAAGCCGGGCAGTGGCAGCCGGCCCAGGCGCTGCTCAGCGAAAATTCGGCGGCAATATCGGAGCCCAACCTGTATGCGTGCGAGAGGCGCGGGCAGTGGCAGCCGGCCCGGGCGCTGCTCAGCGAGACGTCGGTGGCGACGCTGGTGGCCAGCCTCGCGTGCGAGACGGGCGGGCAGTGGCAGCTGGCCCAGGCGCTGCTCGGCGAGATGTCGGTGGCGATGCTGGAGACCAGCCTTGCGTGCGCGAAGGGCGGGCCGTGGCAGCCGGCCCAGCCATTGCTCAGCGGGATGTTGGCGCCGATGCTGGAGCTCAGCCTCGCGCGCGAGAAGCGCGGGCAGTGGCTGCCGTCCCGGGCGCAGCATTGCGAGATGTTGGTGACGACGCGGATGGCCAACCTCACGTTGACGACTGGCACCGGCAGCGGGTCCAGTCGCTGCTCGGCGAGATGTCGGTGGCCACGCTGGAACCCAGCCTCGCGCGCGAGAAGGGCGGGCAGTGGCAGCCAGCCCAGGCGTTGCGCAGCGAGCTGTTGGGGGCGACGCTGATGGCCAGCCTCGCGCGCGAGAAGGGCGGGCAGCGGCGGTCGCCCCAGGCGCCGCTCAGCGAGATGTCGGCGGCGATGTTGGAGCCCGACCTCGCGCGCGAGAAGGGCGGGCAATGGGCGCCGGCTTGGCCGCTGCTTAGCAAGATGTTGGTGGCGACGCTGGTGGCCAGCCTCGCGTGCGAGCCGGGCTGCGCGGCTATCCGGAGAGCGCTGCCAGCGGGGGGGCGCTGCGCAAGCAGCGCCGCGTCCTGTCGCAGGGGGGGGGGAAGAACAGCCGCGCCTCTAGCACTTGGCCTGGGGTGTTCTCAGCTTGCAGCTGCTTGCTGCGCCTGCCCTCTTGGCGCCGTCTGGCCCCCCCCTGGCCGCCGCCGCCCTGCCGCCGACCATGGCCTGGTTGCAACTCTCGGGCTTTCGCCTTCAGTCCCAGGGTCTTTTGGTGTCCGTGCAGGCTCCTTTGAGCCTGGTAGGGTAACCCTGGCGTCCCGGTGACTTGCGCGTCGACCAGTTCCAGCCAGCATGCTTGCGTGTTTCTGGCCCCTGGCTCCCAGACATTGTCACAGCCTGGCTGTGTTTGCAGCTGCCGCCTTGCAATGGTGGGATGCACGTTCATGAGTGGTTCAGCCTTCTTGTTCACCGCGTGAGGTTGTCACTGTTGGCGTGCGACGCTGGCTCGTTGGGCTGCTCGCCCCACGCTATGCCATGCTTCGCTCGGGTGGTTTGTTTACCTCTGGCACCTTGCGCGACAAGGTGCAATTCGTTCCCCTTCCTGGGGGTCTTACCCTTGGAATGGTTGCGTCAGCCGCCTGGCACTCCTGGCACCTCTTGCAGTGCTGCCTTCAGTACCCAGCGTCGCTCCCCGGCGCCCCTCGGCGGCAGCTTCGGCGGCCGTTCGTTCGCGCGCTTAGGTCATTAGGATTGGCTCGTAGGCCAAGCGGACCTCTGACGCCGCCTGCGCTTCCGCTTGCGGTCGCGGCAAAAAAGTGTTCCCACCAACCCATCCAGAAACGATGCCCATGAGCCCATGAGAGCTGACGGGGGGAGAGAGGAAGAGACACGCATAGTCAAACAGCGAGGGCGGCCGGCCTGGACGGCGTGTTGAGGCCTCGGAAGGCCATCGAACACAAAAAGGCGAGAATGCCAAATTCATTGATTCCCATAGGTATTTGA